ATAAAAAACGTGAATCTCAAAATAATCCCCAGAAAGAAATATGTTATAAAGCAAAAACATCCCTTTAATCATTCAAAAAATAAAAGAATTTTATATATATAAAAAGTCACAAAAAAAGTGATCACGTGATCCAAAATGCAATTACTGTGACTTTTTGTGAATCCTTGTAATGGTAAATGGAAGGGATATATAAAGTGACTGTCCAATTATATACCCCTGATGAAGCCATGTGTCCTGTGGAGCAACGCGTAGGGGAGGGGCTGAAACGTCACTCGACACCAGAGGATAACGGCAAGTACACACGCTGTGAGGCTCACACAGACAAAGACATTGATTTTACAAAGTGCTGTTTGTTTTTATACTATGTGAGTGCAATATTTGGGCACCTTAATAAAGGTTTACTTATAAACGATAAAGCACTACGTCCATATTTCTTTGCTCTAGACATCGAGGAATATCTAGGAGAGGATTAAGGAGGAGATCCATAGCAGCTGAAGGAGTGAGAGATCCCTGCAGGGATAACGAGCAGACAAGGAGGCAAGTGCTGCAGAGCACTTAGGAGACACCCAACATCTATGTTATGCTGCAGCAAATCATAGCAGGTTCCATTTATGTGAACAAAAAGCACAATAAGCCCATCTGTTAGGCTTGTAAGGAGGTGAGCGTACAACTTTACCATTACAAGGATTCACAAAAAGTCACAATTATTGCATTTTGGATCACGCAATCACTTTTTTTTGGGACTTTTTTTTTATATATATATATATATATATATATATATATATATATATATATATATATATATATATATATAAAATTTTTATTTTCTATTTTTTGAATGATCAAAAGGGATGTTTTTGTTTTATAACATTTTTTTCTGGGGATTATTTTGAGATTCACGTTTTTTATAATATTGTTATAACTTAATCAAGGTGTTATTTAGTTATTTTTGATATTTTTTTTGTTTATTTTGATTTGATTGATATTGGGAGCACGACATGTAGTTTTTTTTTTATGTATCACTGGTTGCTAGGATGCCGACTTCCAAGTAACAAGGAACCCCAAGAAGGAATTTGCCACATTTAGCAGCAACAGTATTACCTCTGCTAAATGTATGACTTCCCACTGCAGCTGGAGGTTCAGCAGGTGGGCAAACACCCAATTTATTTCACCAAACATCCAGTTTGAACTGAATCCTACAGCACACCAAACCTCATCTCTACTAGTCACCAGTGACTTAATACATTTTAGTTACTTACTTGAACATGCATACAAGTAAAACTAAACCTGATCTGCATACTCTTGCAATCAGCAACAGCAGCCTACGTATTTCTTCAATTATAAGTTCTTCTTAGGGAACATGCAACATGTGCCCGCTCATGCAGCTCTCAACCCTGATCCCCCCTCCTTGTGACAGCAAGCTGGGGATCTTCTCACCAAACATACATTCAAAATTAGAAGAAAAAAAAAAAAAATGCAGGTTTGCTCACCTGGCGGCATCATTGATTCACAGAGTTCTGTGAATGGGAGAACTACAGCTAACATCAGCCTTTGTGGCTGACGGCTTGTAGTTCTCAAACTAAAAAGGCACTGGTGAGTGCTATAGGTAGTTCATTTGATTCTTCCTGTCATGTAACCGCCTGCCTGTATGAGGTATAAGTAAACAGCTTACAGTGACAGTCGGCAGAAGCCCTGCTGATCGTGGGTGCAATGCTCTGCAGGCTACTAATAAAAAAGAAATTCATAATAAAAACATACATGTTTTTACCTGCAAAAAGATAGGTATTTTTATTTATTTTTTTAAAAAAGGTGAACTTATCCTTTTCAGTCCAGCTTTCCTTTTATTTTAGGGAAGATGCTGTGGTCTAATAAGCCATCACCATCATGAAACTGTACTGCAACTAAGCTGTCAAATGTGTTGATGGTCTTTATACACACGGGCGAGTACATTATGCTGTGTTTTGCAACTGCCAGAATGTCGATATAAAAATGATTTTGATTATTTTTGGCTGCAGTGTATCAATCTCTGACAGTTCATTTTCTGATCGCCCCACGTGAACAGAAGCAGGCCTATGGAATGAAGTTACACAATTATGTATATTTTATTCCAAGTTAGGATAACCACCTTCAGCACATTATCTTAAAGGATAAGTTCACCTCTTGTGTGCACCCCCCCCGAATCTCTGTTTTGCTGTCTAGCAAGATATCTTCCGCTATCTGACTGCATCATTCATTTACAGTGTTCTGTGACTGGGGAAAAAAAAAAAAAAAAAAGTCCCCACAGCCTTTGTGGGTGCTGTCGATCACTCTAGGCAGTTCATTGAGCTTCCTGACAGAGTGCAACTGCTTGCCTGTATTGGAGGTAGGGGCAGACCAATACACGAACAGTCTGCCAGACCATGCCATTACACCCACAATCTGCTGTTCGTGGGTGAAATGCTTTACAGGTCCCCAAAAAAAAAAAAAAAAAAAAAAAAAAAAAAAGTGCATTTATTTACCATTTTTGAAATTATCTTAAAATAGAACTGAAATATAGTTGGGTGTTACAGGCAAGTTTTCATTTGGGGAAAATAAAAAATGGTTCTAACAAACCATCTGTAGCTTCACTGTGTTCACAGGCTAGTTCCCTGCCCCCGTCTGGAGTGCATAGGAAGGATAGACATGCTATATTGTGCATGCTCATCACTGCCATCTGTTAAACTTATCACTGCAGTGTGCTCATGCTGCAATACCACACCTGGCCTCATTATACCCCCTGAAACATTTCGTAAAAATCTGATCAGGTCAGTAAAACCACTGGATTGGCATTTTCTTGTATGGCTTGCCAGCCACTGTAGCTGCTTAACCACTAGCATACTGGGCACTTATACCCCCTTCTTGCCCGGGCCAATTTTTAGCTTTCAGCTCCATCGCACTTTGAATGAAAATTGCGCGGTCATGCAACACTGTACCCATATGAAATTCTTTTTTTTTTTTGTGACAGATAGAGCTTTATTTTGGTGGTATTTAATCACCTCTGGGTTTTTTTGTTTTTTTCTTAAACCAAAAACCACTGAAAGTTTTAGTTTTTGTTATAAAATTTTGTAAATAAGTGATTTTTCTCCTTCACTGATGTGCGCTAATGAGGCTGCAGTGATGGGCACTGATAGGCTGCACTGATGGACACTGACAGGTGGCACTGATACATGGCACCGATATATGACACTGATAGGCGGTACTGACTGGCACTGATAGGTGGCACTGAAAGGCAGCTCAGATAGGCACTGATATGTGGCATTGATGTGCACTGGTATGCACTGGCACTGACGGACTTTGACAGGTGGCAATGCTGGGGCTACACTGATCATCAGTGTACATGTCCCCTCCGCGGAAAGCAGATTACCGGCTCTCCTCTCCTCTCGAGCTGTCAGCGTGACAGCTCGAGGAGGAGAAATGCCGATAACCGGCATTTTCGTGTTTACATGTGATCAGCTGTGATTGGACAAAGCTGATCACATGACCGAGCCGACATCTTCGGCTCTTTCCGTGATCGGTGATCCGCTGTGTCCGAGGGACACAGCGCACCGCCGATCGCCGCGCGCTCCCTGAGCCGCGCATGTGCGGTGAGAATGGGGAGGACGTCATAGGACGTCCTCTCAGAACAAGAGAAGCACCTTGCACCCGTCATTGGACTATATGGCGGGCTGGAGGTGGTTAAATATTGACAGTCTTGAGAGCCATATCAGTGGATAGCAACATCTAGCTCTACCCACAGCCCTTTAAATTGACAGGACATTGCTCTATTTGCAGGGGCTTAAAGTGGAATTTCATTCTCTCAAAGAACATTGACTATTTTAATCCCTAAGCTGCTAGCCTTAGTAAATAGATAGGAAGGTATATTATTTTTATGGTCACAGCCAGAAATGCTAGAGGGGATTTCTCAGCAAATATAAACCATGAAGACATGGATGGATGGGTGAGCTTGCTTTGAATATCACAATTAACTAAATAGTGTTTTGGTTTGTGGTGCTCAGATGCAGTGTAGTTCCACTTTAAGAAAATCGTGTGAAAGCCCTACCCAGCCCCGCTTCCCCCCCCCCAGCATGGTCTAGAATGGTATACGAGAGACTAATACTGCTACATGCACCACATGGAGACATTTGTTTAGTGATCATTTGCTACAACTAACAATCAAATTGCTAGCACTTTTTAGTAGCAGAACTGAAAACTGTTAAAATCTCCTGTGTAGCTCTAGAACAGTGGACTCCAAACTGCGGCCCTGTACTTACTTTTATCCAGCCCTGGGGGCATTATTCCTCCCATTGTGGCAACAGTGTGGCATAGTTCCTGCCACTGACACCAACAATGGGGCACTATTCCTCCCACTGAAACCAATGATAAGCACTATTCCTTCCATTCATACCAGTGCTGGGACACTATTACTCGGACGGACACCAATGATGGGGCATTATTCCTCCCATTGATACCAATGATGGGGCACCATTACTCCCCACTGACACCAATGATGGGGTAAGGTTTACTCCCACTGACGCCAGGACATTTTCTTTTCTCACTGGCCACAGTCAGTCCCACCTAAAGTTTAAAGGACAGTGAGCTGGCCCATTGTTTAGAAATTTTGGAGACCCTTGCTCTAGAACACTAAGAGGACTGTAACAAATAATTAAATCTCTTAGTAGCAAGATATTAAAATAATCAGTGTAGCTGTAGCTTCATATCAGCAGCTCTGGTGAAGACATGACACACCAATAAGTTAAAACGCACCCCCTGATGATTACACAGCAGGTCAACCAAGCCCAATGACAATGCAACATTAGTTGTGTCATTGTTCCCTCGAATACCTAAAGTAATTTGTGACTGGTTTTAAAAAAATATGACATAACACTTTAAGTAAAAACGTAATTGTTTTACTAAGAATGAGACATATTAAACAAGAACATGAAGAGTGAATGGTTTGTCCGATATATATCTTTATATATATTAAAGTGCTTAGGCTGTTTCCATCAAGGATCATGTGGTTTCTGCAACATTTTAAATCCCAGTCTACCCAGCATTAGCAAGCTACAAGAAAGAAAAAAAGAAAAAAAAAAAAAGTGTTAAATATTAAACATATGCAATAAATGAAATCTATACAGTCTTACAGATGTGTTAGAAATATACACAGAAATAAATCATATATAGGAATGTTATTGCTTGAAATACAGCATCTCCATGTATAGCTTGATATTTATATATAAGTGGAAGCAGTCATAATTGCTTATATATTTAGACTCTGTTTCCCTTTTAGTAATGCAGCGTTTAAAACAAACCCAAAAAGATAAACATCTGGGAGCTTCCACTGCTTTGATTTTTAACCCTTTCACCACTAGTGACATTTCCTAAAGGGTTAAAACATGGTGTATGGGTTTCTATTTTGTGCAACAGGCTCCTGGCTATTTAGTAAAAGTGATCTGGGAGGTTGTAGAGCTGCCTGATGAGGGGAACATCAAGGAAAATCCATTTCCCGATTTCCACTGCAGAGCGTGAACCAGATAAGTGCACAGTTCTAAACATTTCTGGGTTCAAAATCCCTGCTGCAAAGCCAGGTAAAAAGCAGATGCGGTGCAATCACCTTCAGCAGAGGGCAGGAGAGATATTATGGCTCTAACAAACCAGATCCAACACATGTGATTAACCATTTAAAAAAACATGTTGGGCATCACCACACATGGAAGAATGAGAGGAATAATCTTTGAGTCATCATTCGTGGTAAAGGCATTTAAAGAGTTGGCTATTAATGCATATGGCATACTTACTGTGTGGTCCAAGCTGGACCACTGCAACCATGCAATAAAATCCATACCGAGAGTTCACATTAAGTAAACCCATCCAAGTCCAATGAGTGCATCCTTACTTCTCGTTAATGCCCAACTGCATGTTTACTGTGACTTTAAATAGTTAGTTTGGGTCAAGCTTGCCCAAATGAACTATTTCCTGCTAGGCACACTGTATAAACTGTATGTAGCATCAGCAACATACAGTCCATGGCATTCTCTTCTGGCAGCAGGATGGGAGTTTCCCATCCTGCTCCCGGAACAAAATGGGGTTGGGCTGAGCGCTGCTCAGCCAGTCACAGGAAGTTTTGTATCCTACGAATAAATACAAAGCTTCCTCTGATTGGCTAAGGCAGAAAATGTAACCATCTTCGCCTCAACCAATCATAGGAAGCTTCGTATTCATCGATAGAATAAAAAGCTTCCTGTGAACAACTGAGAAGTGCTCAGCCCGACTCAATTTTGCTTCAAGATGGGGATGAGAAGTTTAAATCCCACTGCTGCAACATAGTGCTGTGTACTGTATGTAGCTGATGCAATATACAGTTTTTACAGCGCGCCCATCAAGCACATCATGTAGTGCAGGAAATAATTTAAAAAAGTCACAGTAAACATGTAATTAGTCTTTAAGGCACTAATAACCACTTGCCTACCGGGCACTTTTACTCCCTTCCTGCCCAGGCCAATTTTCAGCACTGTCACAGTTTGGACGACAATTGTGCGGTCATGCAACACTGTACCCATATGAACTTTTTATTTTTTTCACATAAATGGAGCTTTCTTTTGGCGGTATTTAATCGCCACTGGGTGTTTAATTTTTTGAGCTATAAACAAAAAAAAAAAAAAAGAGCAAAGTTTCTCTGTTTCTATTATAAAAATTTTGTAAGAAGATAATTTTTCTCCTTCACTGATGCGCGTTGATGAGGCTGCACTGATAGGCAGCACTGATGGGGTGGCACTGATAGTCAGTCAGTCAGTGTCCTGATGATCGATGCCGATCCCTCCTGACAATTGCCGTGACAGCGTGAGAAAACTGCAGCCGATAACCAGCAATTGCATTTACCGGTGATCAGTGTGTCATTGGACACGGCTGATCACGTGGTAAAAGGCCGCTGTGATTAGCCTTGTACCACATCACGTGATCAGCTGTGTCCATAGGACACAGCGATCACGGAGATCCCCGGGGGAGCGCGGGGGAGCGCAGGAGAGCGCGTTCTGGGAGGACTTCATAAGACACCCTCCCAGAACTGGCAGGCTGCAGTGAAGCCGTCATTCGGCTATCTGCGGTCAGCAAGTGGTTAAAGCAAGACGGTGGCACGTGGGCAATTATTTTCTCCTAAAATTAGGGACATCAAGCCCTAAAAAAATATGCAGTTTCAAAAGGACGTACTGATAAGGGGTTTTACAGTAAAAATAAAGTAACAGAATGCATCTTGTTTTGACTTTTTAAGCTGAACTACAGGCAGATAAAAAGAAAAAACATCAAGATCACTTTTAGTGAATTTGCACCGTATGTAATTTGCCACCTCCTTAGTACAGTCTGTTGTATTAAAACGGAACTTCACTGCATCCGAGAACCACAAATCAAAAATGCCATTTAATTATTAAAATTCAACGCAAACTCACCCATCCATGTCTCCATGATTTATTTTGCTAAGCAATCACTTTGAAAAACACCCCCTAGCAATTCTAACCATGGCCATCTTGAGTAAGAGCAGATGATTAATGTAGTGATTAATTTACTTCCTGGAATTCATCTGCCCCTAGCTCAGGCTTGCAGGCAGAAGGGCGTGCTTAGCTAGGAAACCCCTTTTTCTTCCTTCCTGAAGATTTCTGGGATGTATGATGCCATTAGCCAAGGTATGAAAACCAGGAAGTAACCGAGGAGGAAATGTAAAAAAAAAAAAAAAAAATAAAAGTTTAAAACTAGTAAATATAATATAATTTCCTATCCATTTTCTAATTCTAGTAGCATAAGGATTAAAAACAGCCAATGCTTACAGAGAGTGCTCCCTGATCTAGTGATCTTCACTGTATGGCCCTGCTCGTACAGCCTGTCTAGTGAAAGCTTGTCTTCATAGTGCACACGCACGTAGAGGTCCCATGTATTTCCATGGGTGAACCATATGCAACTAGATGTCTTGAAAACAGCTCATCCATCCATAGGAATAAATAGGACTGTTGTGGGAAAGACTGGGCAGGGCTGCACGGTGAAGATCGCCAAAATAATTTCTTCGTTCCCCAAGAGTTAAAGCAAGCTTCTCATTCCCAGCAGTTTCTCCTCCAGTGTACAACCAAATGAAAAAATTTAAATGCCAGTTTCACTTCTCGACACCAAGCTACCTGAGAAGTATAAAGAGTCAAATTACATGTACCTACCTGGCACCAGCAATAATTCCAGCTGGCATGAGTTTTCCAGAGTTGTAAAACCTGTAACCCATAACGCCAGCTAATGTTCCTGATGCAACTGGAATACAGAGAATGTGCTGTATGTTACAAGTCTGCAATTTGTACTCATGAAATAGTAAACAATACTCTTTTCTTCTATTTGGGCTGCTCCACACAATACATATTTTTCATCTTCGATTGTAAGCTCCAAGGAGCAGGGCCCTGCTAACCCTCTTGTATTGAACTGTATTGTTGCTGTATTGTCTCCCGTTATATTGTAAAGCACTGAGCAAACTGTTGGCACTATATAAATCCTGTATAATAATAATTAAAAAAAATAAATATAATTTAGGTCTAGAATACACATCCTTTTTGTTATGATGTGGCCAGGCAAGCTTAGAATACATGCCCTATCACGCCTTATGCTTTTCCTAGCTGTGATGTATTAGTTGGTCCCTCTGGGAGCAACCATCAATGAATGCAGCTGGGAGCAGTACAGAGGAAGTACGAGTCTCTAGGTGGCATGCCTCACAGTGCACTGCCAAGCTGTATGTGCAGGTGCCCTGTGTGTTGACATGTGAACATCCACAGGAAGAGGAAGATTTATCATTCTAGGGCAGATCTTGGAGGTTTACTGAAAGAATTGCTGGCATGAAACTTTTAAAAGGGCAGGCTTTGTTCTTTATTTTTTTTTTTGGGGGGGGGGGGGGGAATATATCCCTAATGTGGTGAATAGAAGCCTCAATATACTGAAGCAACAGGTCTTTGTAAAAAGCACTCATGTGCAACTAAAAATCTGACAGATGTACTAAGCCCACTCCATGCAAAAGTAAAACGAAAGTAACTTACTCAATGAAAGTAAAATATTTTTGGAATCTTGAGACATCTGATAGGCCCCTACACCAGCCAGACTTCCAAAGAGCAGACCAGCAGCGAGAGATGGAACACTACCTAGAAAAAAATGTGACATAGAACAAAAGTTGTATCTTTACACAACCATCTAAATTGCAGTCATTGACAGATTTAAGTAGGAAAATGTTACCATTCCCATAGCTTGTGCAAAACACAACAGAATTTAAATATTACGCATTTGAAATAAATTTTTGAACACAAGACACATTATAGTCCCAAAATGCAACAGAGCATGAGAACAATCATTTTCCAACTGTACAATATCAAAACTAAGCAGCCAAGGAGCCCACAGAGTTCTTATTGAATCTGACCAAGTATGCATGAAGACAAGATGTTTATCAAATATGGATCAATCTACACCAGGGGAGATGTTTTAAGCCTTTAAAATTACCATGATATGTAGAATACTTCTTTCATAGACAAACAGTTGGTGCTGGACAGGTTAGCATTGAAGTGTAGACAGTTTGGGTTAAAAATCCGTGACATGTCTGTTCACATACAATATATATAGTTTTTGACACCGAGTTATTGGCATTGTAAGTTACCATACCAGACTTACTTTGGGTTTCCAAATTTAGTAATATCAGGTTACTAATATAGAGAACAGTATCTGTCATTGCTCTTTATGCACAGAAAGAAAACTGTGCTCAATCACCCCACCCACTTCCATTCATCGGGGAACCCCAGTGCTTAGACTATGTAAGCCACTCCAGTAACAGTTACTATAAAACACAAGCTGGCACTCCAGTAAAGATTTTTGGCATGCTTAATTACATCAAATGGCTAAAGAAAAAAAAAAAAAAGTGATCAATAGGTACTTGCTCGTTATATAGCTATAAGGCCTGGCGAGGCTAAAACGTGCCACTGTACAGGTTTGGAAGACATTTGATGCAATGAAGAATACAAGGATCCTTACTGGACTGCCGGCTTGAGTTTATAATCATTGCTCTTACATTTCTACTACCTGAGCAAAATGGAAAATACAAAGCATCACATACAGCTCAAAGCCAAAAATGACAGTAACAGTGAGGGAGTTTAATGAATGTCCATATACAGTACTCATACTATTACCAAAGTTCTAGGTTTTAGAAACATACCTGCTTTTACATAGCCCATAACTCCTCCAGTGGCGACTAGAGCCGCATATCCGAAACCAAACCATTCCACACCCATACTAAAAAGAAAAAGCATCATTGCAGTAAATATGCAACTAAATGAGCCATGGCCCAACCATTTCTGACATCGGTAAGAATCGAAGGTTCATGAAAAACAATACAACCCATGTGATAAAATGGCACACTAGCTACTGTACTAGATGAACGGATTCATATTACACTGGTATCAGTAATTCATGAAGTCCTCATTAAAGCAGATTTCTTATCCCAGCTGAAGGAAACAAAGTGGAAACAGCTGGACAAGGTAGTCATGCACTTTCCTACAAGTTATCAAAGCAGGCAAAGAGGAACCATTAGGAGTGTGTTACTACTAAAGATGACTTGTTACGCCGTGCCAATGGACTCTTGTGCTTTGATATTTTAGAATGTGCTCCTCTGGTTTCCTATGAACTGCAAGGCTGAATCATCTGGCATCTTCTTTTGCATGAACTATATGATTTATGCTTTACAGCATGGTAAAATATTACTTAATGTGATAAAGGTTTGTTTGTTTTTTTAATTAAAATAACAAACAGGTTATACTTCCTGGTCTGTGTAATGGTTTTTCACAGAGCACCCCCGATCCTCCTCTTCTCGGGCCCCCCATTGGCTTTCCTGTCCCCTCCCACCTGCACAGTGCCCCCATAGAAAGCTGCTATGGGGCACTCATGCAGGCTTGCTCCCGAGCCTGTCTGCGTCTATTGACACAGATAGCAGGTGTCAGCCCTGCCCCCAGTACCTGAACATAGGAGTTGATTGGCAGCAGAGGGAAACAATAGCTCCTGCTGCTAAAAATCTCCCCAGTGAGGAGGGACAGAGCCAGGAGAGCCTCAGCTCTCATGTGCATGAGAGCTGCGGCTCCCCCAGCTTTGTCCCTCCTCACTGGGGAGATTTTTTAGCAGGGTGCGGGATCAAGATCAAGCTCAGGTGAGTGCATGAGAGCTGCGGCTCTCCCAGCTCTGTCCCTCCTCACTGGGGAGATTTTAGCAGGGTGCTGAATCAAGATCAGGCTCAGGTGAGTAAAAAAAGGGGGGTGAGGGGGAATCCTCTACAACAGCAGTGGTCTTCAAACTGCAGCCCCTCACTTGCCTCGATCCGGCCCTTGGGACACTATTTCTCCTACTGATACAAAGCAATATTCTTCTCTAGGACACCAATAATGGGGTATTATTCCTCCCGCTGACACCAATAATGAAGCATAAATTCTTCTTCTGACACCATTGATAGGGCACTATCCTCCCCATTGACACTAATGCAATGGGGAAGCTATTCCTCCCACTAATACCAATGATAAGACACTATTCCTCCTAACCACAGGGGTGCTATGTAACTTTGTTACTCCCGCTCACCATCAAGTCTGAGGCATTATCTACTCCCACTGGCCCCACTAAGGTCTGGGGGACAGTAACCTGGCCCTTTGTTTAGAAAGTTTGGAGAACCCTGCCTTAATGCATAGAATGCATTAAAATATAAAAAAACAAACAAACAAAAAAATAATGCTTTAGAACCACTTTAAATACAGTAGTGTTAGCATTAACAGTGTTCATACATTCATATGACTGTATACTTTTTCTCTCTCATGCACATATCAGTTGAATTACTTTGTTTTAACTCTCCAAAAAAGTACAAATTGTTAAGGAATTAAGTCTATACTAGTGCAGGCACCTTACAAAAAGCTGAGTTAGATCGACCTAATAAGGCAAACAATAGTAACAAAAACAACTATGTAAATATAACTTATTAATAAAACAAAATCCCTCTTTAGCTGCTAGATCATCACACACACTAAAAGATTTTTTTTTTTTTTTTTTAAATCATTCTTACCTAGGTGGATGCAGCATCTGTCCCCAGATCACTCAGTTCTCACTGGAGTGCTGGCCTGTGAAGGGTGCGGGAGAGACTGACTCAGGCTCCTCAGTGGCTCACTAACAGGCTAAACCAGTTGCTGGTCATGGCTCCTGGGTGGATCCCGACCATATGGTCGTGATCGTTCCCAGCCTGGACCAGCTGAGTGATGTCAGCCAACAGCAGACTAAAAAACGAAGTCCCATTCACAGATGATGGTGAATGAGTGACATGGTCATGTGGGGTGAGTCCTGCACGGCCATGTTTTTTTTTTTTTAAACTTGACAGCTAGCGAGGGAGAAGAAGATCCTCTGCTGGCTGTCAAAGAGGGGATTGGGGGCCAGTCTAAAAGGTGAACTTATCCTTTAAGAACCCACACTTCTCTATTAAAAACTTTACAATTTCTAAAGCCCCTATCACATGGCCGTTCTTATCAGGTATACCTGTCAGTTTGTCAGGAGGACCTGATCAGAAGGGAGGAGGGAGGAGGGAGGAGGGAGGAGGAGGAGGAGGAAGAAGAAGAAGTCCTAAATGGACAGTGAAGCTGTGACATTCGTCCAGCTCTGCCCTGATCAGCAGGGGATCTGCTCCACCTCAGCTGTTTTGCCATTAAATTTGGAGAGCTCTGACTTGCCCTTTTAACAGCTGGGTCCCGTTCATATAGTCTGCAAACAGTGTCTGCAGGTGTCATTGATATATTCAATGTAACAGTATTTTTGTTACAATACATTTACAGTTTGATAGTTTGTGATTATTTAATGTGTAGATCAGGGCTAAATGTGTGAAGTAATGAATCTGTCATTCACCAAGCAAACTGCTTTATTTATATACCCTAGAATCCATTGATCTGCAAACAAATGTCAGTTAAATCAATCTCACAAGTAAAAGCAAAACGCTTATTTTTTAAATACAATTAAGAAATTACTTAACCCCATAGTTAACCCTAATTCATTTGTTCCTCCTCTTCTCCTCAAAAGTATTTTTTTTTTTTTTTAAATGTATAGTATAGTAAATCTAATGCAGTAGTTTTAAAAATAGCACTGACCAAACTAGTACACATAGAAATGTTTTGTTACCTTTTCGGTCTGTTGATTGCAAATCAAGTGTGCCAATGGAAAAGAATAACCTTGTTTGTTCTGCAAAATAAAACAAAAAAAAAATAAAATGTGTATTACTTTTCCTATATAATAACAAAATTATAGTAATAGGTACATGGCTGAAATGAAAAAAGTGATCTAGAGTCTGGCGGTTCTCAACCTTTGTGAGATCAGGGCCTTGTCATTTTCTTCCAAAACCTTCCGTGCCCCAACAGTAAGGTCTCGTTCACATGACTGATTACTTGTGTACGGCATGCAGGACTGTGTTTTTCCAGTACAAGGGTGCACATGTGTTGTGTGCATCCCAGGGTGGATTTGATTTAAATCAAACTGATTTAAATCACAATTTAAATCCTAGTCAGTAAGGCTTGATATAAATCCTAGTTTTCTACATAAAGACTAATTCTTGCTGGTATAACTTTAATATGCAAGTAGATGAAGATTTTTAGAATAACAACTTTTCATATTCGTTTTTTTATCCCCAGTTTAATAGGTTAATCATTCATATTTGGACAACTTTTCTGTTGTACTTAGGAAGGAAAAATAATCATTACCTTAATAATAACAATTTAAATAGATTTATTCAACTGAAACAATAACATTACAGCATGTTATTTGCTTAAACAAACATCCATGTTTGGTAACTAATTTGGCTAAACAAAATCTATATATTTTAAGAAACTTAGACTGTCAGCCCCTTCCTCCTCACACTTAGTTTCACTTTCTTCTTGTGCAGATCTATTCCACTCCAAACAATCAGAAAAATATTGTTTCTATTCTATTCACTGAACTTCTTGAAACTTAGCACTGAAGGGGTTGATTCTGTATTCATAGGTTTGTAGAAGTTAGGATTCAGGTCTTTTTCTTAACTCTGTTCATGTTATAACATTTTTGCTGTGAAGAAGAGGCATGTGATCTCCGCTGAGTCAAATTCAGTTTTGAGAACTGCAAAAATAAACCAACATCTGTGATAATATCTTGTAGGCAGAGAAACTGCCCAATAATCTTACAAAAACCTCTGGAAGAGCATGACATTGTGAATGGATTAATGGAATTTATTTACCAAAACAAATTAAACATATACAGCCTTATTCTACATAATTAAAAAACGAATCTTTATTTTATGATGGAATTACCTTTGGATTATATATTTTCCTCAAAAAGCATTTTATTTACAAAAATCCGATTAAAATAAAAAAAAAAAAAAAAAAAAAAATCGGATTTAAATCAAAAAAATCTGATTTCTTAAAAAAAATCATTGATTTTTATCCACCCTGGTGCATCCCCATGCCAGCAGTCCCATAGATATCTATTGGGACAACCGGCTCCATGCACACAGCCTCTGTGTCCCACTGTGATCTCCTTGCGGGTGCGAGTGTACAGCCCAGCACACACCCAGGGTGAGTTCAAAGATACGCACCAGCACTGATGTCATATCTGCTCAGGGACGCATATGTACATTGCATGAGCATTAAAGCGGTAGTAAATCCTAAAGAAAGTAAAAAACCTTCCAGCCCCGCTGCAATGGACTATCCTATAGTGCCAGTATGCATCGTATACTAAAATGAAGTCCTCCAGAGGAGTGATGTCACTGCTAACAGGGCTTCCATCTCCACCTTCCTTCCAGGTTTGTGGGCTCTGGCCGTTTGAATGGCTGAGCTGCGATGACATCACTCCCACACATGCACTACAGTCATGGCACAGCACTCTCAGTGGACGGCATGCTTGAGTATGCCATCCATTGAGAGCGCAGTGCGCTGATGAGGTCACCAGCTGCTACTTAGTAGAATATCTCCAGAACACAATGCACGTTTGGAAGATCTTCATTTTACCTACAGGTAAGCCTTATTTTAGAATGTAAGCTCTAACGAGCAAGGCCCTCGGATTCCTCAATTGTATTGTAATTGTACTGTTTGTCCTCACATTGTAAAGCGATGCGCAAACTGTTGGCGCTATATAAATCCTGTATAATAATAAAAAAGCTTACCTGTAGTTAAAAGCAGCCAGTCGGACTTTACTGCCACTTTAAAGCCTACCCTTTTGTCACTGCACATGTGTTATGCAACGGTGACAGGTT